ACGAGCTTTCATGAGAACTGGGTACACTCAAAAAATTGCACACGTCATCATCATGTGTCTCACACTTAATTTTGCGCTTATTGTGAAACACATCCATTTCATGTGTGAATCTTATGCTATGAACCATGCCTGAACACTATGGATTTGAATTGTGACACACTTGGAGTCTATGTGCCTCATATGGTGATATCAATAGCTTTGCACATCATAGTTCAATATTCTACAATATTCTACCACAGACAAAATTCAACTTTATCGACTTCTACTTTACCGACTCTAAAAATGAATCGACAAATATATAAAAAAAATTCAGAGGCCAGAGCTTTCACATATTTTTTTAATGGGTCTGATTTGGGATTCGATCATGAACTGTTGGGGTGTGCTGCTGTCGGAGTCTTCGTTCGATCTCACTGTGCCACGGTTGTTCTCATATATGAGGCGGGTTGATAGGATAAAGTCACAACTCTTGTTTTCGATGTGACAGCATGCACGGAAAAATAAAAAATACAAAAATTGAATAGATGATTTTTCCAGGTTTCGTTAGTGTCAACATCAATTACGGGATTACACGCAAATAAGTTTAAATAAATGTGTTACCACCTGCTGTATTGCCATTTACTTTTGATAGCTAGTGCAAATGTTCACCATAATGATTTCTTTTGTCATAATTAACAGTAAGAAACACATTTTTTGTTTTCATGTATGTACGTATTTGGAAAAATCTACATGAAAACATTGAGGTACATTTTTTGAAAATTTATTAAGCATCCCCTTGGATCCCCCTATGAATTGTATATGAAACAGTAGGGTATAAGCTGCTGAATAAAATGACGTTGTCATTAGCTGCTAATAACTGCTAACCTGCAAGGTACACCCCCTTAAAGATAGTGTAAAAAAATTGTAAAAACTAGCGTAAATCCTTTCAACAAAGATATAGCGATTAACTGTCTTCTGCAAAAATGTGCATTTTCTAAGCACTTAAAACTTTGTAGAATATTTAAAAAACGAGAAAATTCAAAGAAAAAAGTTATCGTGAAAAAACATTTACTACCATTTGTAGTCCATTTTCACCCTATAACTTCGTCCACTTGAGAGATATAAAGTTTAAACCTTGGACAAAGTTTCATAAAAAGACTTCATCTTCAATGTTTCCATAGGTGTTCATCAATTTTAACAAGACATAAAAAAGTTATTTTTTTATCTGAGTGTATACCCTCCTTAACCAAACATTTTCACTACTAAAATAAAGTACTTAAAAATTAAAGAAACATTTTAGAAGACAACAAAAAACTATACTCAATAGTTTCGTCGCAAATAGCAATGTCCCACATTTTTTGAATTCGTCCCACTGTGGGACGGTACTAATGGATATTTTTGGTCGCTATTGAAAATTTAGTCGATTGCTGAATTTATGTATGGGCCCAAATTAGGGTCATTTAGGCCGATATTACATCCATTTCCCCTATGTGATTTAATTACTTATGACTCAAACTGAATGAAGCGAAATGAGATCGTTAGGTTGTACCTTTTTCGAAAAATCGCTAAAATTCGATGGGCAAATCTCTTTAAAAAAAAACGCGTAAATTCCGAAATCCACGTAAAAAACCACGTAAATTACGGAATCCACGTGATATCCGGAATTCACGTAAAAAACCACGTCAAAAAACCGCGTAAAAAGCGACTCCAGTGTACACGATAAATTAATTCTGCAATTTTGGTGATAGCACATCAGTCCCTTCGCGATTTTCTTGACATCATTTAATATTTCCGTAATTTTCGCGACTGAAATTTCAAATCCGCGAGATTCACGAAATCCATGAAATTTACGAAAATCGTGCCTATTGTAACAGCTCTGGGTGTTCCTGAAAAAAGGTTTTTAGCACTAAAGGGCGAACACGAAATTTTTGCGACACCGAAAATGTCATGCCAATTTTCTTATAATGTTTAGAATCAAACCAAAATTTTAGGGTAGTTTTATACATATATTTACTTCAAAAATCAAAAGAAAAGTTAATCGATGGAGCCTTGAGTGTAAAATTGAACGCATTTTCGCTTGATGCCCTCCATCAAAGTCTTTACAGTGTCATCCGGTACCAGTTTCTCAGTTTTTTTTTCCATTTTCTTAACATGTCCTTCTCGTCTTTGACTGTCTTCTTGCTCTTCCGAAGTTCCCGCTTCATTATTGTCCAGTACTGCTCCACCGGGCGCAGCTCCGGACAGTTTGGCGGATTCATGTCCTTTGGAACAAAATGGACAGAATTGGCCTCATACCACTCCAGGACACTTTTAGAATAGTGGCATGATGCCAAATCTGGCCAAAATAGCGGAGCTTCGTCGTGCTGCTGCAAGAACGGCAAAAGGCGCTTCTCGAGGCACTCAGATTTGTAGATCTCGCCATTTACTGTGCCCTTTGTCACGAAAGGCTCACTCCTCAGTCCGCAAGAGCAGATGACCTGCCAAATGAGATATTTGGAGGCGAACTTCGACATTTTCTTCTTCTTAAATTTGTCGTCCACATCGAACTTGCTCTTGCCGGTGAAAAACTCCAACCCCGGAATTTGCTTAAAATCGGCTTTTATATACGTTTCGTCGTCCATCACACAGCAGCCATATTTTGTCAGCATCTTCTCGTAGAACTTCCGTGCCCGAGTTTTAGCCGTCGATTGTTGCCGCTCATCGCGGTTTGGGAAGTTCTGTACCTTGTATGTATGTAGTCCAGCTCTCTTCTTTGCATTCTGGACGTAGCTCTGCGACATGCCGATCTTTTTAGCCAAATCACGGCTTGAGACGTTGGGATTTGCTTTATTCATCCGCTTCACCTTTCCCTCCGTCTTTTTGTTCTCCGGTCCCGGTTTTCTTCCAGCTCCTTTGCCGTGGTCCAACGTCAACCGCTCCTGGAACCGCTTCAACACTCTGGAGACGGTTGAATGGTGAATGTTCAACATTTTTCCCAACTGCCGGTGCGACAGGTCAGGAAATTCCAGGTGTTTGGAAAGAATGTGTTCTCTCAACTCGCGTTGGTTCACCTCCATTTTCGTTGAATCGAAAAACACGACTTCGAGTTTGACAGCATGTACACAATACACATCAATGAGAAAGTGTGAAAAATTTGGTTGATTTTTACCCAATGGTAAAAAAGTTATGCCCTGTTGAATGTGTCGCAATAATTTCGTGTTCGCGCTTTAGCATTTTTATTTAAAATTTCTCGTGAAAGTCATCTTCGTGAGACTTTTAAAGATTGTTCCGTCGAGATTTTCTTAGGCATAAAACGTCGAGATTTAGTGCTAACTCGGATTTTTTTTTGTTATAAATCAGCTTTCGAAAGTTCACGAAAAAAAGTTTAAGTCCCAGAAAGTTAATTTTTGACAAAAGAGTTGTTTTTTACAGATAACACTAGATCTTAACGTTTGATGCATTTTTAAGTCATTTGGTATAAAAAAAACGATTTTCGAAAAATCAACTAGTCCCAGAAAGTCGATTATATTTTTCCAAGTTAAAACTTGATCTCGTCGTTTCATGGATTTTCAAGTCAATTTACATAAAAAAAATTCGGCTGCCGAAATTTCACGAAGTTTTTTCAAGCTAACACTAGATCTCGACGTATCACGTATTTTTAGGACATTGGACGAAAAAAATCGATTACCGCAATTTCATATATCCCTCCCTTGGGAGATTCAGATGAAAATAGTTCAAACTTTGACGATTTTACGCCACCCCAAATCATGTCCGATTAAGCACGAGTTTTTCATCCGATCTTTTTTCATTGGCACCCTTAAATTAATAAAATACTCTGCCTATAATCGCATATCTGTCCCATGAAGCTTTCTAATTTTGCTATATCAGCAAAAAAATATGGTAATTCAAAAGGTAGAACTATAACTTGACTTATGGACGATTGAAATTCAAGATGGGACTGATAAACGATTACTTTGCTTAAGGGGGTATTCCCAATCTTTTGCCTTTTTTCGGCCTGTTTTTCAATTAATTTTTTTCAAGGAAAATGAATAGTAATGCGCCTAACTCTTTGGGATTCTTGTTTATTGAACATTAAAGTTTACAAATAATTTTTTTTCGACACAAAAAAAGACATTATTGACGTCACAAAATGGCGGCAAACAGACCCCTGTTCGTCGCAAACGCCTGGACGGGCGAAGACTTTTCTCTGGAACGCCTTATCTGAAACAGATTTCGTGATGAAATTAATAATCTGCATAAGATTCTCTGGAGCTTCTCCCGTTGGCAGCAAAAAATCTTGCAAATTAACAAAATGGCGGCCATATGAAAAAACAGGCGATTTTTAGCCCGCTTTTTCGCAGCTTTAAGGTGCTTCAAACAATGTTAAATGTTAATATTTTTGGCTGAAAGTGGGAGAAGCTCCAAAGAATTTAATAAGAAACAAAATGCGCAAAGATTCAAGTCAATATCTCTTATAGTTTCTGAGAAAAATTTTCGCCCGATAAAAAAAATGTGGTTTCGAGAAAAACGCGTTTAAAGTTTTGACTTTAGTTAAAACCATTTGGGGGTTCTTACCATTAGTCAGCTATGCCTGGACACCGAATTCGCTGATCGGAAAACGGCTTGGGGGAATGAAAGTATATAGTCTAAAGTACAAAAAAACGTGAAAAAAAAAATTTGATTTTTTGAAAAAAAAAAGATCGGGAATACCCCCTTAATTAGACAAACTGATTTGATGCTGTTATCACATTTTTCATGATCAAAGTGTGTAATTTTATCACATAATATGAAAGAGGAAACCAATTGATAGCGTTGATATCCAAAAATTTACGATAATTCATATAGGACTAATACGGATTATAAGCAGTACATTCACGATATTTTTCAAAACACCTATAATTTTTAACAAAATTGTTTCGCTGAAGTTCCCTAAAGAAATCTGAACGGATCATTTACAGTATTGTGAAAAATAGTCATATGGAAACCATGAAAAAAAATTAACCCATCTCCTCCACACACCAAAAAAAAAAACAACACAAACACAGAACGATGGGATACCTCCAAGGTGTCGGTGGATCAGCTGAACTCGGCCGTCAGCGCCCTGGTCGGCATTCTGACCCAGAGCGAAGAAGCCCAGCTGCACGGAGTCAAGCTGCTGTTCGACGTCGACGGGCTAGCCATGTCCCACATCGTCCAGTTCACGCCGAATGCGACCGCCATCATGCTGAATCTGATCGAAAATTGCTCCACGATCCGGACGATCAACACGCACACCGTCAACACCGGAATGGTGTACAATATGCTGTTTTCGATCATCAAGCCCCTCCAGTCGAAGCGGATGCGCGAGATCATGGTGATGCACGGTCGGAATCTGACTTCTTCGCTCGGAAAATACATCAACCCGAAGATTCTGCCGGCACGGTTCGGCGGAACATCGAAAGCACCCCCGTGCGAGGGGCGGCTGTTTGCCGAACTGATGATGTGCTACGACGAGTGGCTTTCCAAGAGTGAGTATGGCTGATGGACGACTAGTTGAGTTGAGTTGAGTGGAGGATAACCTTCGCAAGCGGAGGGAGGGGAGGGGGGGGTGTTACAAATGTTCTTTTTTGGGAACCGTTTGCTGCGTCGGTTAATTATGAAGCGGTGTTGAACAGTGACTTTTGGAATAATTTCTTGCTTACGCATGATTGGAAATGTGAGAAGTACTGTTGAAGCGTGAATTTGCTAAGAGACGTATTCGATTTTCGAAAATGAAGCACAAGCATCAACATCATTAAATTACGAATCTTAAAAATGGAAGATCACTTTATAAAATGAACATTTGGTAAGCGCAGAAGATAATAGAAACTACACAACAATGCGTCATTCCGAAACTATACAGATATAGATTTAATATTTTGAACCAGCCTAACATATAGTTTCAAGAGAAAAAGTGTTGAGAGTTCTTGGCAAACAAAGACTGCCAGTTAAACTCGTCAAGGGCATTCAATAATGTGATTACACGCTGTTCTCACTGGTACCAGTCTTTTTGTTCATTTTTGTTACGCCAATTCCGCACAATCTTGCCGACCGATGATGGCATGCTGAGTACAAATTATTCGGACTTGGATAGCTAGAGAATTGTTACAAAAAATTTGTGATTTTTTTTTGTACTGAAAATCTTAGAATAATTTCATAAAGTATGTGGAAGAAAACAAATTCGGAGCATAAGTCCTTGGAATTTTTTTGAAAATACTAAAAAAAGGATTACAATTAAATCTGAGAATAACTCCAGGACATCTTCAAAGGAATTCGGAAATAAATTCAGGAGAGTTTTCCAAACAAATTATGAGAAGAAATCTAAGGAAATTGTGAGTAGAAATGCCAATGAATTCTTAGAAGACTTTCAATGTGAGTAGAATTCCAAGGGAAGGAGTGAGATTCAAAAGGAAATCTGAAATGAATTCAATGAATATTCTGATAATCTTTCCAAAGGGTGTCTTATTGTGGAGAATTTCAAGATAATTCCGCTAAAAACTAAAAGAAAATTGAATTCGAAGGATAGCTTCATTGAAATTTCCGTTGAATATGAAATGGACTATTCTGAGAACTTTCCAAATTTTTCCTATGAAGTTCTCGAAATGTTTCTGAATACCACTGACCTTCTGCGAAGTTTTCGAAGTTTTTTTTAAATTTCTGGAACTTTTGTGCTCCCGCAATTTTCATGGAATTAGAATGAAATAATTAGTATAGTTTTATCACATACAAACAGAAGTTACTCTTTGAAAAAGCTGTTCTTGAAAACATAGTATCTCAAAACATAGGACCTCAGTAACGACATCTCTCGGGCTTCTCGCGGAAAACAAGCTTGCTCGCTAACTCGTAAACAATATTGCATAAAAGTTCTATAGAATGTATAGAAACGTCAAAGTGATCCGATGCCAGCGCTGCGGCGAGTAGTTCGCGGAACTGATTATGTTCAAATTAACCGTTAAATGCGTGAATGAAGATACACAATGAAGAGTTACATCTGTTTGTCTGTGGTTTTATGATTTTCACTTAAGTTCTCATGATTTTTCTGAAGTTCATGAACCTTCCATTAAATTATAGACACTAATTTAAAACTTCTTCAATAGTTCAGACTTTCCGGGTGTTATTAAAACGGCCTAAACGAATTTCTTTAAAGTTCTTTAGGTTGCCCTGAATTTATGAGTATTTTGTAACAACCCACAACTTTACTGAAATTAATTGATTTGCCTTGAAGTTTGGACAATTTTCCTTAAGTATTCTAACCATTAAAAACGCTCACTTATTTTCCCTGAACTATGCTTACCTGAAGTTTTTGTTTGTCCGGCAAATTTTCTGATATATATTATATATTTAAAATTCCCTGACGTTTTTAGATCAATCATAGAATTCTTGGAATACCCCATAATTCCACGGAATTCCTTGTAAGTCGCTGCGAATTTGCTTAAGTTAATGGGATTATTCTGAAGCTATTTGATCGTCCTCGAAGTACTCGGAACTTTGCTGAATATCATGAAACTATCTAAATTCTAAGTTCTCTGGAATTTCTTGAAGATATTTATCGCTGCTTGCTAAAATAGTTCCCGCATTTTTTTTAAATGAATGGAACTTCGTTGATATTCTCTAATCAAATAAGCTAAACTTTCGTATTTTTTTTAAAGTTCTTGATATTTCCATGATATAACACCCTTAAAATACTCTCTTTTTATCACGTTCCAGAAGTTCTATCGGAGCTTTGTTGAAGTTTCCGGAACTTCTTTAAGGTTTCTACAATTTTCTTTAAATTATGTGAACTGCCCTTTGATTCTCTGATCTGTCTTGATGTTCTCGAAGCTTCCCTAAAGCTCTATTAAAGATAAATTTCCCTGGAATTCTTTGGACTTCTGTGAAGTTCCTGAAATATTTATGAAGTTTTCATAAATTATCTGATGGTCTCTGTACTTCCCTGAAATTCTCGGAACATCTTAAGGGTTCTACATTTTCCTAAATTCACGATTATAGATATTTAAACTGCTCTAAAAAGTCTGAACTAAAGTCATGGGAACTGCTCTTAAGATCTGAAATTCCCCAAAGATCTCTAGATCTAGTTTTTCTGAGGTGCTTAGATTTTTTTTTAAATTTTCTCAACACCCCTCAAGGTTTCTATATGTCTCAAGTTTGCTTAACACCTGTGATGTGCTCTGAAATTCTAGGAACTTCATACAAAGTTTTTGAAAATTTTAGAATGTTAAAAGAACCGATTTGAGGATCTTAAAGCTTCCAGTAAGTTCCCCATAATTTCAGTGTGTTAACTTCCCTTATGTTCCCGCAGTTTGTTTATGGAGCTTTGCTGAAATTCCCAGAATTTCCTTTCATTCCTCAGAACTTCTTCAAAGTCCCTACAATTGTTGTGAAGTTAATGGGACTGCAATGAAGATCTCTGATATTTCATAAAGTTAATAACGAACTTGAAATAAATCATTTAATGTTTTCCTTAATTCAGGCACTTTGAAAATTTTCAATATCATGACTTGTACATGGAATACGAAACTACAAGACATTGAATGTTTTTAGATTTTGGACTTACTCAAATTAAGTACGTTTTTTTAGACTGTGAACAGTGAAAAATTAAGTTCAACATTCATTGTATTTGATTACAAACTTGTTTCTTTAAAACTGATTGCCATGTCTTAAAAACGTTTGGGTTAATTACTGTTGATCTTCCAGAAAAAGCATATTTTTAACGCATTAAAAAAAAAGCTTTCTTAGTATAAGACTTGAATTTATCCGTTAATGTTCTGGGAAAACCTGGAAAACTCAGGAAAAATTAGAAAAATGAGTTGACAGCCTGTAGATAGAGAAAGACGATAAAACGTCACAAAGCAAATAATGATCAATATTGAAATAAATTCACGCTAAAATAGTTGCAAATAGATTACTAGAAAAAGTGACTTTAGTGACTTGACCTTAAAAAAATAGACTTTTTAGTGACCGGATTTGAAAAAAGTGACCAAGTCACTGGGGGGGGGGGGGGGGGGGGTTCTATGTCCTATGTTTGGCGGTACTATGCTTTAAAGATAATTTTATTCAAAGAATAACGTCTGTTTGTCTGTGACCAAACCTTTAATTGAATACGTATGGAAATTTTCCACTATTCGTGCAAAAGTCCCATACCGCTGCTATAGAAACTTTACTAAAACTAGAACGTTCAAATTTTCACAAGTTTTAAAAATTAGCTGGAAGGTTTTGAGACCATGCTGTATGGAGTGTTGTTCTTAATATTCTTTACTAAATTTTCAATAACAACCAAAAATATCCATAAGTACCGTCTCAATGACGCGTTCATCTTGATACAATTGATGAATAGCAGATTTTTAGCGATGGGCCCAATGTTAGATCCATAGGCCAACATTAGAGCTATTTCCCCTACTTCGTTGAATTGATGAATCATGGCGACAAAGGAACTGTTTGCAGCATTGTTGGTTGCATGCACTTCTTCATGTAGCAAGGCTCTCGGACGGAGTGTTCGGGCAGGAGCATACAGATTAATTTTGACCAGTAACTCAGGAACATCAAATTCTGCGAGCAAAACTTTAGCAACGGAGACGACCTGCGATATGTTTCGTCGCTTAGCAAGAGTATCCAAAGCGGTCAGCATAGGGTGGTAAATTCAGCGGGTCACTCCATGGATGATAGCGCAGTGCGTATCTGACGAATTTGCGTTGAACAGCTTCGAATCGTCCACTCCATACTGCTTGGTAGGGATTCCAGACAACACACGCTAATTCCAGTAGTGAGCGTACCAATGAACAGTAAAGGGCTTTAAAACACAGAGGATCACGAAATTCCTTAGATATCTTGAACATGAATCCAAGCTGACGATTAGCTTTGTCGATCGTGGTTGAGAAGTGGCGAGTGTATGTGAGCTTTTCATCCAACATGACAGCGAGGTCTTTAACGTGATCGACACGTTGAACTGCAGTCCCAGCAACGTTATAATCAAACAAAACGGCAGTCCTAGTTCGACGGAAACTAATTAAGCAGCACTTTGAGACGCACAGGACCATACAATTACGCTCACACCAATCATTAAAGATTTCAAGAAGGTTTTGTAGTTCTAAACAGTCGGCATAGCCTCGAACGACTAGATAAATCGTCAAGTCATCGGCAAAAAAAACAATTTACAAACTCCACGAAGTAGGTTAAACGTCACATGGTTCTAAAGTTGGCCTATGGATCTAAGATTGGGCCCATCGCTGAAAATCTGCTTTTTATTAATTTTATCTAGATGAACGCGTCATTGGGACGGTACTAATGGTAGTTTTTGGTCGCTATTGAAAATTTAGTCGATTGCTGAATTTATGTATGGGCCCAAATTAGGGACATTTAGGCAGACATTATATCCATTTCCCCTATGTGGAATAAATATTACAACCAATAACAGATCCTTTACGTCAGCGGCACCGATGGTGTAATAGTAAGCGTGACTGCCTCTCATTTCAAAAGGGCCTGGGTTCAATCC